TGAAAGCTCTGTCAGTGCAAGAGGGAAGTGCAGTTGGTGGTAACTGGTTGCCCGTCCTGGCTAAAGGGCTCAGGCCATTAGTGGTGGTCGCCCTCTGTGGCTAATACTAGGCTGCAAACTACCGCCAGAATCGTAAAATCATAGAATACTGTGTTGGAAGGGACCTGAAGGATCATCCAGTGCAGCCCTTTAAGGTTAAGAAATACAGTTTAAACGAGACAGCCCAGCAGCCTGGCAGACTGAGCCATAAAGCTGTCGAAAGTTGAGGAATTGACCTTGTCCCTAGGAAGGCTGTTCCGATGTCTGATTGCTTGCATGGTGAAAAATTTTCCTCCAGAGTTCAGTCGGAATCTCTGCAGGAGCAACTTGTGGTCATTACCCTTTCCATGTGACTCCTGTTAAAAAGGGAGTCTTCATCTTCTTGACAGCCACTCTTTATGTACCAGTACGTGGTCACAAAGTGCCCCCTGAGCCTTCTCAAGGCTGAACAAACCCAGTTCTCTCAGCCTTTCTTCATATGTCAGGTCTTCTAGCCCTCTGCTCATCCTGGTGGCACATCTCGGCTCCCTTTCCAGCCTGTCTGCATATTTTTTTGTATAGCAGGGACTAAAACTGAACACAGAAGAAATTTAGGGACCCAGATAGCGCTCCCAGAAGCCAGCAGAGACAGCCCTTGTGTGCGGTGTGAGCAGGGAATGATCTGCTGTGTCTGGTGGCAGAGCTGAAGTAGGAAGTGAAGAGGTTAAGGGGTATCGGGAAGTCTGCTGCCTCCATGAGGCACGGGTTAAGGACGTGTTGGGCGAACTTCCCACCCTGGTGAAGCCTTCTGATTATTACCCACTTTTGGTATTTCAGGTGGGCAGTGATGAAGTGCCTACAGGGAGCCCAAAATCAATTAAGAGAGATTTTAAGGCCTTGGGGCAGCTGCTTAAAGGATCAGGAGCGCAAGCTGTGTTCTCTTCTATTCCATCATTAGCAGTTGTGAATGTAGGAATTAACAGAAGGACCCATCACATAAATTCATGGCCCTGGGACTGGTGTTCTCAGCAGGGCTTTGGGTTTTTTGGTTGTGGGTTGCTGTACAAGACACCTGGCCTGCTGACACCAAATTGGTTGCACCTGTCCCAGAGGGAGAAAATGGTTTTGGGGCAGGAGTTAGCAGGGCTCATTGATAGACCTTTAAATTAGATTTGAAGGGGGAAGGGGATATAACTGGGCCTGCTAGGAATAAGCCCAAGGGAAGCATGTCACGGTTTGTAGGATGGTGTGCTAGTGCCATCTCAGTGGAGGTGAGGAATGAACCTATAATGGGAAACGAGGAGGTAAGGGTTGTTCTTGAAATTGCTCTAGAAATCATGGAAACACTTGAGAAGGGTCTGGTAGGAAGTGGGGCCTACACTCAGAAAAAGGCGTTGGGATCATCAGCTCCTCTAAAGTGCTTCTATACGAATGCACACAGTATGAGCAACAAATGGGGAGCTTGGTGCAACAGGAAAGCTGTGACATACTGGCTATCACAGAAACGTGGTGGGATGCCTCACATGAGTGAAGTGCCACAGCAGATGGCTACAAGCTCTTCAGGAGGGACAGACAGGGAAGGAGAGGTGGTGGGATGGCTCTGTATGTTAGGAACTGTTATGAATGCTCAGAACTTAAGTGTAGTGACGATGGGGTCAAGAGTGTTTGGATTAGGTTAAGGGGCAAGGCCAATAAAGCTGATATCGCTGTGGGAGTCTGCGGTAGACCTCCCAGCCAGAGCAGTGAGGTGTGGATGAAACATCCTATAAGCCCTAGGGAGAAGTCTTGAGGTCACTTACGTTGCGTTTCAGCTTTCCAGGTATCTACTGGAAGTACAGCACAGCAGAGAGGGAACAATCCGGGAGGTTCCTGGAACATGTGGAGGATAACTTCTTCACACAGCTTGTAAGTAAAGTGACCAGGGAAGCCATCCTGCTAACCTCCTGTTTGTGGAAGATGTGGCAGCTAGAGGCCGCCTAGGGAACAGTGACCATGAAATGATTAAGTTCTCTATTCTTAGAGATGTTAGGAGGCAGGGGCAGCAAAAGACTTTGGCTTGTTTATGAGGTTACTTCACAGAGTCCCTTGGGAGTCAGTTTTGAAGGATATAAGAGTACAGAAAGGCTGGACACTTTTTAAGAAGGAAATCTCAAAGGCATAGGAGCAGGCTATCCCCACAAGCTGGTGGCAAAGAAGACCGGCCTCACTGAAGAGGGAGAGTTGGCTGAAAATCAGGGCAAAAAAGAGTTTATGGTCTCTGAAAGAAGAGGCAGTCACTCATAATGAGTGCAAGAATATTGTTAGGTTGTGCAGGGAGGTAATTAGAAGGTCCAAAGCCCAGCTAGAAATTAATCTGGTTTTGGAAGTGAAGGACAAGAAAAGTTTCTATAAATGCATTAGTAGCAAAAGAAAGACCAGGGAGAGCCTCCATCCCCTACAAGACCCAGGAGGAAATATGGTAACCAGAGACCAGGATAAGGCTGAAGGGCTTAATGCCCTCATTTCCTCAGTCTTTAGTAAGAGGAACACTTCTACAGAGGGAAGCCAGCCCCGCCCCGGTCATTAATTATCTGCAGTGGCTGTTTTGGGAGTAGGGAAACCTACAGAAAACACACATGCTATTTCACTTTCAAGCGCCATCTTCATTTTGAAGAGATGGGGGAGTGTTCCATGATGACAGGGTCTCAGTTTGGAATTATATTCCCATTTCAAACAACTTGCTCTTCCCCAGGGCTCTGCTCCCCCTTTTTCATGTTGGGAAAACAAATCCTCAACACCTCATGTAGGCTTTACCCTTCACAGATCAGCCTGCCCTTTGCCTGGGCTAGACTGCATTTATCACCCATGGGACATGTTATATGAACAAATCAGTTTAGTTTAACTTCCTTTTGTTTTTTTACTCCACAAAAGCACAGAAAGATGCAAGTTCCCATTTCTGAAGTTAACTTTATTTTTAGAACAAGGTATTACAAAAAAGACTTCACATCAATAAAATGCCAGTCCTCAGTAACTGCAAAGCAAATGTTTATTTTCGTGACTGTTTGTGTTCTATGAGCAGCACAACGAGTCTGTTCCGAAGGAACTTTATTTCCTTTGCATATGACTTGCAAAACAAATCCTTCAGCTTTTTGCGCAGAACTGCTAGAGGAGGCAGGCTGTGGCAGCTGGGGATGTTCAGCATGCTCTCGAAGAACTCTTTCCACAGGTCAGCGTTGGCAAGCCTGCAAAAAAACCCCATGAAAATGCATCCAATTTTTCTCAAAATTCAAGCTGTCAAAACCCTATTTCTTGGGTTTACCCTGTTCCCTCCCCAGTCAGAGGCTGGAGCAAGCAGGCATTGCTGTAACACAAGGCAGCTTCCACTGTGGCATGCTGCTTTGCTAACACGTGGGATTTTTCTTTGTTAGTTGCCCTTTCCTCCTTCCAGGGCCTCAGTCTGTGAATTTTACAAAGCAGTTTCCATGCACTTAACACCCACATTTTTCAGGGCACCAGAAGCGCAGGCAAGCAACAGTGAAAGCTGTGACAGAAACTAACCTCAAACAAACCATGTAACTAATGATGCATCTTTCTAGGCAAGGGAATGCTTTGCAAAGATTTGACACCAACCTTCTGAAGAGTCCCTCAGGCTTCCAGATGCCGTTTTCATTCTTCACTTGCATGTAGGTACCAAAGAGCATGCAGTAGACCGTTGCTGCGATGCCAAAATAGTCCGTCTAAACAAAGTATAAACAAGTTTCATATGAAAAAATGTATTGAGACCACTAAAAATTAGCTGAGAAACGCTCTGTGAAGCCAACAGGGCAAGCTCTAGGAGAAGAGGGTTCAGAATTACGTTTTTAAAGCAACAAGCTGAAGCCACAGCTCTGCTGCAAAAATCTAATCGTTCTAGACTCCATTTATCATCACCAGATGCCTGCAGTAAGCTCCAAACATCCAGGCTGTCTGGGCAGTCTCATACCTGATAGTTCCATGGTTTCTGAGTCAGCATTTCAATACACTGAAATCCAGACGTTTCACACTTTGCGGTAAATGCCGTTCCTTCAGGGAAGAGTTTCATGTCTATGCTCTGGCCCAAGTCAATGAGTGTCAAGCCATGAGAGACACCGTCTATGTCACATGTATCGTTATCCAGAAACCTTCAACCGTGGTGAAACGATCCCATTAATATCAAGGCTATGATATCACGATACGCTGGCATCTTTGCTGCAGCAAGGGGAAACAGAATCCTCATAGAAATACTCACTTTTCTCCAAGTATGAAATTGTCAGGTTTGATGTCCCCATGAATGATTTTGCAGCTGTGGAGCTGTTCCACCATATAAAGAATTTTTACGGCAAAGTAGATTACAAGTCCTTGAGGCATCACCTTTCCAGGAAGCTTTTTGTAAATGTTTATGGCATTCTGTGACCAAAAAGTAGCAAAGAACCATCAGCTATACAGAAACAACCTGATATGCATTATAGGTCCATGCTGACAAACACGGAATATGGCCCCAAAGAAGCAGAGTGTAGAGGGGACATCTAAATATCGTAATATAATAGCACTCCAAAAAGAGTAAGATGCTCGAGAGCACAAGCTGATTACCCTTACCAGCAATGTTCCATAGTTGTGGAGCTCACCAACTAAAATGCTTCCGTTTTGAAAGAAATGAGCAGAATAAAAGTGGATGTAGAGGTGGTGTATGCTTGGATCAAGCCTTTCTACCAGTTGTGTTGCTATATAGAACTCCCAAGGGTTGGCTGGCTTCTGGACCTGCAACCAAAAAGTTGATTTACTAGGAAAATCTATTAGCACTAAAAGCAGAAGTTCTTATCAGGTTGATGGGCTTTGTTGTCAGTTTTTATGGCAGGCTAGGCATTTTTCCTCTTGATCAAATAAAATATTTATATCTACAGTAATTAACCTCGGGTCCATACACTCTGTGATTAATCCTCTTGAATCAAGACTTCAATTACACACCATAATTCTGTTTGGGAATTAAATGACACACTTCTGTGTTATTTAAAACCACTAGTCTTTCTGCAACATTGACGCTTCTGCTGGCAACAGAGGTTTTGTGTGTCAGAGAAGGCTTTTGAAAGCAAAACAGGAAAACCCTTCCGATTCGTTCCCCTGCTACACTGAATACCTGATTCTCAAAAACCCCCCCAAACCTCCAAGTCATCTTCACACACTGGAAAGCTCTCAGCTAAGGTGTTACACTAAAAAAAAATTTTGCTGAAAGATTAAACATTGCAGAGTTGATCCATGAAAAGATCCCGAAGGTAGATCTGATGTGGAGAGGTTAACGGGAGACGTGGATGTGTGTGTGTCAACTCTGTCACAACACTGCTCGGCAGCCAGGCTGTAGTAACTACACGTGTCATAGTAACTATAACTGCGCATGCCCTCTGAGCCCACAGCAGCCACCAGGGATGCATGACCTTGTATGACCCTCTGGGGCTCAGCTGACCCTGCAGCTGCACAGACTTTCCTTTTAGCAGCAGTTCTCGTGTAAACACGTGCTATCACATCTGTTGCTCGTTCCAGCACTGAAATAGCCTGGAAGGAGACAGGGCAGAGCAGAGAGGGAGCTGCTTGATCTACATTAGCATCAAGACAAGTGTGCTTGTTAATTAAATGGCACCAGAGGGCTATCACCCAACAAAGTCGACACAATAGGCAGCTGCCACCAAGCAGGCTAGCAGCACAAAGTGCCAAAATGCCTGTATCTGGAACAAAAAGCGGCCCAAATTTTATCACCAATCCACATACATTTTCTTTTGCTGTGGTCTAAGAGCACTCGCCCAAGTAGCTGCCTTTGTTTAGCTGAGAAAGACAGCCTGCCTGTGATTCTTACCTCCTTAGGATACCTGGAACTACTTTATAAAGGCAAAGAGACAGGTCACGTCAAGAGGATAAATAACTTCCCACATAGAAGGGGTCAGACATCACAGCACTCAACATGAGCGAGGCTTTGCAGGTAGACCAATATGCTTTACTTCATAAGTAAGAAAACTCAGCAGAACCCACCCAGAGTAGGTGTCGCAACTACAGCACTCAACCAATTTTCCAGCAGAGCTACTCCAGATCAGCGATATTTACCTTGAACACTACTTTCTGATTGTTTCTAGGGTTACTTGCATCCAGAATGGAAGCTTGATAGACTCGGGCAAAAGCTCCTTCTCCAACCAAGCAGTCCAAGTGGAATGAGCTGGAACCTTTAGAGATTAACAACATTAAGTTCTGCTTGCAGACTTCAAGGAATAGACATCACCACTCGGGGGGAAAGAAAAAAAAAAAAGGTAAAAGAAAAAAGCACCAGCCTATATATATTATTGCTTTAACCCTAGCCGTAGCCTTTCTCTCCAGATTTCTCCTTGCCAGACAGCCTTTCCATAGAAGAGTCTATACTCTTGAGAACAAGAGTGCTGTGAAGTGCCACATACTAAAAAAAATAAAAATCAATGTTTCTATTTTAGTCTGACTCCCTGGAAGTAACCCAATTCCAAAGTGCACTCCTTAAAAAGTAAACACATTTAAGTCATAGAAATATGTTGCAATTACTGTCCTACAGATTTTGTTGACACAGGACGGCTGCTGTTCCATAAAAAGTTGGATTACTAGGAAAATTCAAAAAAAAAAAAATGCTACAAAAGGGAAACAACAAAAAAATCCAACCACAGGTGTAATTTCAAGTCTGAGGTTTAGATAATCTGGAAGCTATCCAGATATACACACAAGTAAACTGAATTAGAAAAATACTTTAGAGCTGCCCAGAAAAAACACGATACCCTTTAAAGTGAAATGTTTGAAGTAGCTCTTACCCAGCAGGAGTTCAGCCTTCAGCCTGATGGATGGGAGAGGAGATTTCCATTGAAAGTAGTTGGCATAGGTGTGGAGTGGCTTAGGGAGCTCTGATAAGAATTTGCAAATCAATTCCTTATCCCAAGGGTTCTCGACAAGGACTTTGTGGAAAGAAGAAAAATATGTAAGCTGTAAGAAAAGTGTTGTTTCAAAGGGGTAACACAACCTTGTACTTGAATGTGTGTCACCACTTTAAAAACAAAACAAAACAAAACCCAAACAAGGCAAAGCATTCCTTAACTACAGTTTCCTCACTGTGGTGACCACCTTCACATTGGAACAAAGCACGTGCTGCAAGAGCATGACACCGCTCCAGTCTTGGACCTGTCAGAAGGGAGCTGCAGGCAAAGCTCTCTACCTGTAGCAGCTTGGACACTCTGGGCCGTCCTGTCCTGCCCACCTCCAGACAGCATTTCCTGGGAATTTTGGTCTACCCCAGTGGATGAGGGATGTTCAATTCTGCTCGCGGCAGCCTGCTCAGGTAAGCTTTGAGAGGCAGCTGTAGCAAATCCTTGAATTCTGTTTCCTTGTTTCAAGGCATTTCCCTGAAGGCCTTCTGGTTGTACAGTGTGTTCGAGAGCAGGGCTGTGTATTTAAAAAAAAATATTGTTCATTGACAGCACTGCTGTGGTATCTTTGCATCTTTGGTAAGCAAAAATGTGTCAAATGTCTACGCTTGCGACTTTGGCCACAGCCAATATTAAGATGAATAAAAAGGACATTTCTTAAGAAAATAAGATCTGGTCATATCGTGCTACCCATAGTCTAATTACCTTCAAGGTAATTGGCCAACAGGTTCAGCCTATACTGAGAAAAACCCCATAGTTTTACATATGCGGCCATTAAAACTTCTGAGATGGTTAACTTTTAATTTAAATGTGTTGGAAAACTTACGTCATAGGAGCATTTTCAGGGGTTCATTTACCCCTCAAAAGCACCAAGATGCATTCTGAGACATAAATGCACCAGCTCTGGATTACTTGGAAAACTTGCATCAAGAGCAGCAGAGCAGCCCTGCCTGCCCTGGGATAGATTTGCCCAAGACTATGAAAAGTCTTGGAAATCTCAGCAAGTTGAGACATACCTCAGCTTCTTCATTTTTGTCTGCTTGTGCAGTTCTTCAGAAAATTCCAAGTCCATTTGTGGCAAGTCATCCCCGCAGGCTGAACAAAGGGAATAGCAACAATGGGAAATGTTTTATCTTCTCCCCAAAAGCAAGCACTTTTAGAGTATTCTTACCAGGACAAGAATTTCAATTTTCACACTGTGAAAAGCTAGAACTGAACAAGCTATTTTAAAATGTAGGAGTCAAGATAACAGCTTGATTTCTTGAGGGCCAACCCGTGCTCCCAGCTGCTCTTCTGCGAGCTCAACGCTTAACTTACAAGCGGCGGCCATACCCCTGCGGTTTTTGGCAGCTAGGGCACAGAAACAGAGAGAGGCAGTACTGAATTACACACTCAACCTCAAGTATTCAATATTTTACCTTTGTCCTCCAAAGCTTGCCGCGAACGTGCCGCCAGGTAATTAAATGGTGTCGATGCAAGCTGGGCAGCTCGTGCAAAGTCTTTGGTGTCATTCGGGCTGGAAGCTAACGTTTTATTACTACTTGGGACATTCCACACTGTATAATCATCCCTCAAGAACTCCGTTGTGCCTGTTTCTTCCTAGATAGGGGCAAAACAATAGTAAAGGGAATCTAGATTTCATCTTGGTATCATTCATAAGAAGACTGCAGGACTGGAATAGAACAAAGGTAAATGCAACCACCTCCAATAGCCCCTATAACTACGTAACCCATTTTGAAGGCTAATTCTTGCCTTGAGATCAAACACTCACTTCTGTACCCGCTGCACAGTTAGTCAAGGGACGTTCTCCAGTAGTTCTGGGCTCCTCTGGCTTGTTTTTATGCTGTGGGACCCTGACAAAACAGGTAGTTTAGAACAGCTTTTCTCCAGAAACTTTCCCAGGCAGACTGACCATAATAAAGAGTTGTTTTAGATTTATTTTTTTTTCCAAAGAATCTCGTTTGCTTATACTTCGAGGTAGCAGTAGCTCAAAGAAACAAGCTATCCACTGTTATCCAGAAAATGAAGCATCTCAAAAACACTGTCTAAACAGGAAAGCTGCCCAATTCCACAGAGAAGCAACTAACAGCTTTCTCCTGCTGCTTCCACCCAGCTGCTAGTGACTGTATTCAAACCAGTCCTGATACTGCAAATACAGTCACAGCAAAAATTATATGGAATAGAATCAATCCTATATGTAATTCTTAATGAGCTGAACTCAGCTCTTTCTTTACCTGCTATTCTCTTTATCGTTCTCATCTTCAAATATAGAAAATGCTGGCATGACAGGAGCAACAAGATTAGCTTTCAGATTTCCATCAGGCTCTGAAAAATAAAAGATAATCAAGAATATCTTCACCCACCAAAGACTATATCAACAGTCACATTTTCACCCCAAACCAGACAACTGATGGCCATGGCTGTATCCAGCTAGTCCAGGAGCTTCTTCTCAGACTGTGCATCAGAATTTAAAACTTGTCATTAAATTTGATTCATTATCAGGAAAGAAGTGGTTTCTTCACACCAGATCTAACAACTACTTATCTCAAAATTATGAGGACTGGCAGGAGGGGCAAACAGGAAATAAAGGCATGAAATATCATGGACTGAAAAAAAAAAGCAGGACCTACCAGTTTTTTGGCAAAGGATTTCAAATTGCTCCTCGCTTTCCTCAAGAGGGGATGGTTCAGGCAAGATCGGTGTTTGAAACATATCCATGAGAAATCCTACCAAAAAAAAATTAAAAAAACATTTAAAACCCACTGGAATATCACCCTCAGTAAAACAATTTTTTTCAGAGGTTCCTCCACTGTAGTCAAATCAAATGCCAAATAATTAGAATATTCTTATCATTTATCAAATGCCAATATCCAATTATTCCTTCATACTGCATTTAAACTCTCCAGATAACTGAACACACACAGGACGATCTGACTGGGCCAGCACATACTTGTTGGTGGCATGGCCTTGGGTTTTTCCCTCCCTCTCCAAGATAAGATTTCAAGTTCTCCTAAAGGAGCGAATCTGCCAAATATCTAAGAAGATAAAGGAGAATTAATTAATACCATGGCCTTTTCTTTAATTATTATTTTTACAGATATGTATTCAGCTGCAGCAGTTCACTACATGCTAGTGGTTATTATCAAAATAGAACATGGCAGGAGAGTACAAAAGGGATAAAACAGCATCGAGATATTATTATTCTACATCTGACGTCAGAAATACTGCCTTTTCCCTTTCAGGATTTTGGAAGAGCAATGTTTAGAATTCACAACACCCACTTAAAAAAATAAATATAAAAATCCAAGACCTTTTATATGTGTCACCCTTGTTTCAGCTTTGGGGGAAGCTCAACATCAACCGGAGTTGACTTACTTCCAAACATTCTTCCCCGTGAGTCTGTCACAGGTCTTCGCCTCAGAAATTACCAGGCAAGATGCCAGTGGACCAGCGTGTTATTCCAGGTGCTTACCCAGTGCTTCCTTTGTGTGAACTGTAGGTGAAGGCTGCACTTTGAATGGTGTCACCTGCATCGCTCCACCCAGTGAGGTGTTTGGGGTAGCCTGAGAAGCATTTCCAGAAGCGAAGGAAGAATTTCCAACTCTAGATGCTGGGGGGGAAAAAAAAAAAAGAGAGAACAGTGAGATCATTTCTGAAGCAGCCTGAGATTGTTTATTAGCATTTCGTTTGCTAGCAAAACATTAGTAAGAGAAGTAAACAAGATGAGTAGTGGAATGACAACCCAGAATTTGAGGGTAGATTTTGGCTTGTTCAGAGATCCACTTGGTGGGTTCCCAAAGGGCAAGAGGGACCTTGGACAGCTTGGTGGCCCCTGAGGATCCCATCTGCAATTCACAGGAATGATCCATTCTCACATAAAAAAAATCAAGCAGGCAGGAAGCGGTCAGGGACAGCTGGGGAACTCTTGACTGAGCTCAAACTAAAAGGAATTGCACCAAAGGTGGGAACCGGGACTAGCTCCATGGAAGATGTTGCCCAAACATGCAGGGATGGAGTTAAGAAAGTCAAAAAGCTTAGCTAGGGCTGAAGTAGTGGCCACACGCTATCGATCCCCGGTCACATCAACAGCACCAGTTGTTATCAAAACTAGGCTTATTACCTTCTTTCACATCCACAGAAGTAGTTGGTCCAGTGGATCCCTTGTTAGGGCGCCTTCAAAGGAAAGATTAAGAGGTATGAAACCTGAAAGGCAGCAGAGTGCTTTAAAAAGGTCAAAACACAGGCAGCATTAAATACTCTTTGTGGATAGTTTGTCTCCAAGAAACTCCATAAAGTGAGTGAATGACAACTGGTTCCATTTCCTCTTGTTGGCCAAGCCGACTCAGCCATGCTTTCTTTGCCAACCTCAGTTTCTCCTCCTGCTCCCCAATTTTCTTTCCTGTATCGGCCAAGTTACACAAGCAAGAGTGCAGAAAACCAGTACAAGCACTTTTTGTCTCCTCTGGAGACCTTTGTGGCCAGGATGTAATGTGTGGGATCTATGTGGACTAAGCATATCCTGGTGTTTATTTCAGGCGTGCCAGGGACAGCAATGCTGACTAAGTCCTTCAGTCACACACACTGAATTTCCTCTTCCTTATTAAAACTAAAACACAGGGTTAAAAGGAATTAAAAACTGAAACAAGGACCCCAAGCTATGTAAGGCTTGATCTATGTTTAAATATTATTTTCCACAGGCTACTTCAGATATTACTTTTTCAGAAGAGACTTTTATTTTTTTCAGTTCTCAGCTGAAACGTGCATCCAGAAGACCTCACAGTTTGCAGAGCAAACTCAGCCTGTCTATACATACTGTTCTCTAGCGTTCCACTTAAGAGCCGAGTCAGGATGTGCCCGTTCCCGAGCTGAAACGTTATTGAATGGAGCGTGCAACAAACTGTTCCGCAGTTCTCCAAGCTCTAGCTGAGTTTTGACCACGTCCTTTTTATATGTTGTTTCCCACAGGGAAGCTGATGTCATCGCATGGCCAACGGGTTTCTCTGACTGCAGTGTAAGAGCAGTGGATGATGAAGTGCTTGACTGAGGCCGATCCGGCACCAGACCTTGAGCGTTTTGCAGATGTGAACTTTGACAAGACGCCATCCAGGTTGGTTGTAGATCTGTGCCGGGTGTCACGTGTGCATAAGCCTTTGGAGATGAGAAATGGTCTTTTACACTCAAACATACCCCCCTCAAGTATAGCCATTTTGCCTTTTATTTCTGTATAACTAGAATAGGTTTTCATGCATAAGAGAACTTCTGTATGCAGCTAAAACATGGAGAAGAAAAATGAACTTTTGGGTTAAACAGTTAAAATATATGTTATCAAGTATTTAAGGTTATGCCAGGTATCTATACTGGTCGAGTATTGCAGCCTGAACTTCCAGATGTGGTTAAACAACCTACTTCTGTTACTGTCTGAAGAGTAGTTAAGTTTTGTGAGAGAAGTTCATCAAGAGCTCTCCTGTTGCTCACAGCATATACTTACCACTGACTTGTTTGGTTTGGCTGACGCTGTAGATGCTGGTTCCAGACGAGTTTCCTCCAAGCTTTTGGTGAGCTGAGTGAGCTGTTCCAGCTTCTGCTGCAGGGCTTGCAGTTCAAGGACAGCTGACTCTTTCTTCCTCTTGGAGTCTCTCTCCTCCTCTTCTAGGGGTTAAACAATGGTATTCAGCAAAGCAGTTAATCAGCATCCAAACAAGTTTCTCAACACAGACATTAGAAGCTGCTTGAATTTAAAATTTAAATATATGTGTATCATCTGTGCAGCTGCAGGACTGCAGATCTAGTGGCCTAAGTTTGGGAGAAGGAGCTATTTCCCACAGAACTCAGTGTCTCACAGCCCTCACCCCTCAGGGGAGGGCTACCCACACAACGGGTTGAAAAAGAAGAATACCCCATTCTTGCTGTCTTCTGAGGCGCTCGTATTTCTTGAAGTATCTCTTGGCTCTTATCTCCTCAAATTGAAGTTCAGAGCCTTCGCATATGAGCAGGTTTTTATCATACATTGCAACCTGTTCACATTCAACAACAGTAGACGATGACTTAGGAAGAACTTCAGATTTGGAGATGTATGTAATGTACTTTCTGTGAGGAAAAATAAGAAAAATCCCTATTCAGGTCTATTGGATTTATTCTGGAAGAGTGTTAATCTTCCCCACAGTGTGACTTGAAACCTGAACACTTACACTTCTTCTTTTCCACCAGAAGAGCAGGACTGAGTACCAGCAGAATCGGGACCCTAAAAGCAAAACAGGAGAAATAGAAATAGGTATAGTAATGGTATATATTAATAGGTATATATTAATAGGTATATTAATGGTAAGAAAAAGACTAGGGAAGGTCTGGGCCCCCTTGGAAAGGAATTAAGTGAACTGGTGACAAGTGGTTTGGAGAAGGCTGAGGTTCTCAATGACTTCTTTTCCTCTGTCTTCCCTGGCAAGGGCTCCAGCCACACTTCTGAAGTCACAGAAGACAATGGCAGGGGTTGGATGAAAGAACTGCCCACCATAACCAAAGATCACGTTCATGACCATCTGATGAACCTGAAAGTGTACAAGTTCATGGGACCCGATGGGATACACCCACAGGTGCTGAGGGAACTGGCAGATGAGGTTGCTAAACCGCTCTCTACTATATTCCAAAAGTTATGGCAGGGGGGCGGCCCCACTGACTGGAAAAGGGAAAACATAATCCTCATTTTCAAAAAAGGAAAGAAGGACGAACCGAGGAACTATAGACCAGTCAGTCTCACCTCTGTGCCTGATAAGATTGTGGAGCAAATCCTCCTGGGGGCACTGCTGAAGCAGAAGAATAACGAAGAGATGATTTGCTACAGTCAACATGGCTTCACCAAGGACAAAT